ATGAAATACTTCTATGCAACAAATTCCATTCACTCACCAAACTGTCTACTTATATCATAAACCTCTACATAAATATCTTCATAATTACAGTACAAAATATTTCAAAAAGTTACGTACACAACAAACCTAACAACAACCATATTTCCTTTAATATCACTGTACAGGGATGTCACCACGCTGGTCGGCGGTGGACGGGCCCGTCCAGCACTCAACATTTCCGACCAGGATTTACAGGCTCCCGACCACCACTATTATTTCAACAGTTTACAAATTGTAACAAAATAATTAGTTTACCTAAACACAATAGACAAGCTAAATTTACAGATAAAGACAATAAGAATACAATAAATGTTTCCGTGGTTACGTTAATTGTAACAAAATACTGCACTGCCCTGCTATTCATCGCTAACTTAACAGCCTAGGCCTAGGCCCAGTTGAGTCATAGCGAACATCGTGGGCCGGCATGACACGGTTGCTCTGTACACATTCAAAGGTTAAATTTGAAATCGTGACCATTCAAGTGTTTTATTATGAGATCATGATCCGCGGGGCAGGAAGATTATTAAAAATTTACGAAACCTGATTTATGTTTTATTTCTTTACTTTCTTTTCATTTTGTATTTTAAGTTTTTCACTTTTAATTATAATTGATATACAGTAGAACCTCGAATTTACGTACGGCACGGGACCGGAGGGCGTACGTAAACCGGGGGATTCGTAAAATAGAGGTTGGGTTAAATTTGTGGTAACCTTTGACCTAATACGTACGTAAGACTCAATACATGTGTGTATGAACGAACGATGTTACCTAGCTAGGCTAAAGCAAGCCTCTAGGCCTACGAATAAAACCAGGTGTTTAGTGTTTTTATTCATCACTTTACGATGTCATAATAAAGTGTTCAAATAAAACCGTGTGTCTAGTGTAATAATTCATCGCTTTATATCTTTTATTTAACTAAAGAACATGAAAATATTGTAAGATTACCTATACGAAAAAGATATAACTTGGGAATTCCCCTTCATGCCTATTTTAAACAACAGAGCTGTAGTGTTGTCTGGGCCTGTCGAGACAAACTAAACCCATGTGCGCTGCACTGGGCGAGCCAACCAATTAGCGTTTGTGTACGTCAAACAGCAACCATATTCACTGCACTGGGCGAGCCAACCAATTAGCGTTCGTGTACGAAACTATGCCTATTCAGCTTCGTGTAGAAAATTCGACCAGATAAGTGTTTCCTTGGTTTGCCACACGAAACTAAGGAGGAAAGCAATTGTTTTGAGCACCATCGGTAGTTGTTCATCTCACTCAGTTCACGTGGTTTTAGATTATAACAACTCGGTGTTAGACTCAATCAATATTGTTGTTTAATGAAAATTATGGTTTGTTTATTGTTATAGTTTATTGTAATAGTCTTTTTACTTTAATTGCTCTGAAAAGGGCCGTTTGTTTTGAATATTTTCGGGGTTTTTGATGACGTCATCGTCGATACGAGGCGTACGTAAAACGGAGGGTTCGTATAACTGGGGTACGTAAAAACGAGGTTCTACTGTATAATGTGTGTAAATGGACAAAAAATAAATAAATGAGTGCACATGAATCAGTGACATACACATTCATCGTGGTAATCGTCAAACATGTGAAATTACGGCAAACAATGCGGCTGGGTACAGTCGGAT